GATTTTAGAAATACCCAATGTTAACATGTTCTGCTTTTTTTTTTGCAAGTTTATTATTTATTTATTTTATTTATTACTGCTATTTATAAAGCGCCAACAGATTCTGCAGCGCTGTACAATTAGTGGAGAAACGTACAATATACAAACACAAATACAAGAGGTAGAGAGAGCCCTGCCTGTAAGCTGATATCTAGCCATTGGAGCTCTTTTATACAAAGTGCTTGGCTAGATGGCCCGTGAGCTTACAATCTAAAGGATACCATGGGGATTTGAGAGAAGAGGTAGCAGGGGAAGTTTGGAGGTGATGGCTGAAAGAGTTAACAGAGAAGCAGCTATTGGTAAGATGAAGAGGTAATTGAGTGAGAATCTCAAACAGCTGGAGGAGCATGCTATATATATATATATTTATATATACACATACACCCTATTCCAAATTATTATGCAAATTCTATTTAAGTGTCACAAAGATTAAATATTTTGTTTTTCAGTTTAACTCATGGATGACATTGTGTCTCAGGGCTCTTTTGATCACTGAAAACAATCTCGGACACCTGTGATAATTAGATTGCCAGGTGAGCCCAATTTAAGGAAAAACTACGAAAGGAGGGTGTTCCACATTATTAAGCAGAGCACCATTTTCATGCAATATGGGGAAGAAAAAGCATCTCTCTGCTGCCGAAAAGAGTGAAATAGTTCAATGCCTTGGACGAGGTATGAAAACATTAGATATTTAGCGAAAACTTAAGCGTGATCATCGCACTACTAAGAGATTTGTGGTTGATTCAGAGCACAGACGGGTTCGTGCAAATAAAGGCACATTGAGGAAGATTTCTGCCAGATCCATGCATCGGATCAAGAGAGCAGCTACTAAACATTACATAGCAGCAAACAGATATTTGAAGCTGCTGGTGCCTCTGGACTCCCACAGACATCAAGGTGTAGAGTCCTCCAGAGTTTTGCAACTGTGCATAAACCTTCTATGCGGCCACCACTAACCAATGCTCACAAGCAGAAACTGCTTGTTCCAACAAGGCTGCAACGTCAGCAAGGCGGTGGTGGAGTCATGTTTTGGGCCGGAATCATGCGAAGAGAGCTGGTCGGCCCCTTTAGGGTCTTCAAAGGAAGAACTATGCTTTCCATAATAAAATCATCTTCATGCATGACAATGCACCATCTAATGCTGCAAAGAATACCTCTGCATCAATGGCTGCTATCGGGATAAAAGAAGAGAAAGTCATGGTGTTGCCTCCATCCTCCCCTGACCTCAATCCTATTGAGAACAGTTGGAGCATCCTCAAGCAAAAGATCTATGAGGGTTGGAGGCAGTTTACATCCAAACAGCAGCTCTGGGAGGCTATTCTGACATCATGCAAACAGATTCAAGCAGAAACTATCCAAAAACTCACAAGTTCAATGGATGCAAGACTTGTGAAGCTGCTATCAAATAAGGGGTCCTATGTTAAAATGTAACGTGACCTGTTAAAATGTTTAAAAAGTTAAAATGTTGTTATAAGTTTGATTGAAATATATTTTTAATTTTTTTAATTTTAATTTCATTAAATATGCTGCAAACACCACAAATGACCATTTTCAGTTCTTTACAACCTATAAAGTGTTTTGAAACTTACTGTGCATAATAATTTGGAACAGTGCATTGTAAGTTTTTTATGTTTGAAAAAAATACTGTTATCATTAGGACGTTTGCTCAATAAAATTTGAATTGTACTCTTAATAGTTGATAACATGATAATTATGCTGACTGTTATTTACATCAATTATTTAGGTAAATGAGAAAAATATCATTTGCATAATAATTTGGAACAGGGTGTATATAATATTGTTTTCCTTTACTAAACTTTTTTTTTTCATTAGCAGGGGTACTGCCTGTAAGGCAGCACTATGGAAGCCTAACAGGCCCTATGGATACCTATTGCGGCCATGTGACCGGTCTTTCAGAGCGGTAACATAGCATGCGGGGTCCTAATTTGCAGAGGGGGGACTGACTGGGCTGTCAGACAGTCCCCTCAGATGGAGAAGAACACCGATCGCCGGCGGGGGAACGGCAGCGATCAGGTAAGTAATAAGAATACCACAGACATACTAGGTACGTCCGAGGTCGTTAAGGACCGTTTTTGTTGGACGTACCTAGTACATCTGAGTTTGGGAAAGGATTTAAGAAACACTTTGATCCTTATAACTCTCTCCTTTCCAGAGAGAGTGATTTTCAAAATAATAATACATTGTTTATTTCACTCTGGAGTAAACTGATGGTTAAATTTGTTGCAGTTAAGATAATGCACAAAATCCCCAAAAGACAGTGTCTCCCCAAATAAAATGAGATTGTCTATAAACCTCCACCAGAGCACTTGGCTCTCCTTCCAGCCATGACTAGACCATACAAAAGATCCTCCCATCATCTGATGTAGATGTTGGCATAGCTGGGGGCTATACCAATGGTTTGTAAATAAAATTTTCCATCAAACAGAAAATAATTGTGCTCTAAAATAAATAAAAGTGAAATCAAAATAGAATGTTGCTGTATGTTTAAATCCTTACTAATATAATTATATACTACCTCTAATCCTAAATCATGATGTATAACTGTGTAAAGCGATGTGATCTCTAAACTATATTCATTTTTCCATTCGAAGATCTCCATCTCCTGGAGTACAAAATTAGTGTATTTTATATTTGATAGTGCTTCATGTGTATATTTCTGCAGATATGAGTCAATGAAGGCTTTCAAATTAGCAGTGATAAAATTAATCCCACTAATTTTTGCATGTAGTGTTGGGGTTTGCTGGACTATATGCTCCTATATACATACACTGACACATACATGCATATCTACATATTTACACAGATATCCTGTGGCTTCAGAACCACTCGGATAATTCAGCCAACCTTATTGTCATTTTCCTGGAATTTAGCTATCCATGTTTGTACAGTATGGAGCACTAACTATTTTGACCATTTTAGGTATTCATGCTTTGCACATATGTTGTCTCATTGGTCTTCACAAACACTAGTGCCACCAGGCACCAATATTTTGGATGTGTGGACTGCTTTTTTTGACATTTATAGCTGCTTATTATGGACTAAGTGTTTAGTGTAGAACACAAGAGGAACGGTATTGAGGGAGACAGCAAATAAATATGGTGGGAAAGTAGCAGAACTGGAGGTGAGAGTGGAGTGTGGTCCTTCAGGAGAGAGCAAGGAGCAGGTTTGTGAGATAGAAGTTACTCTGTGAGGCCATAAGCATTCTTGCATAGATGAGTTTTGAATGGTTGAAGACTAGGGGAGTGTCCGACTGGGGTAGGCAGGCTGTTGCAAAGTAAAGGAGCTGCACTTGAGAAGTCCTGCAGCTATGAATTTGAGGTAAGGGTGTGTGCAGCAGAGAGAAAAAGGTCACCTGTGGAGTGGAGAGACAGAGAGGGGGCATACCTACGAATCAGCGAGAAATTTAAGAGGGGCTAGAGTTGGCTAGAGCTTTATAGATCAGGATTAGTATTTTAAATTGACAACGGTAGGGTAAGGATCGACAGAGGGGTGAGGTGTGAGGTGTGAGAGGAGTAACAGGAGAGAAAGATCAGTCTGGCAACATCAATGATTAGTTTAGTTTAGCTATTGTTCAAAGTTTTATATCTGTTATATGCAGAGCCAGTACCCATAGTTATGTGTTAAAGTGTTTATTAATAGAACTGTTCAACTTACAATAGATAAAATATATTTTCTAGTAGAAGTTTAGATTTAAGGAAGCACTACAATATGTCCATGATTTCTCTGTTTGTTTGTTTTTTTTTGGTCATCATTTATCATGAGTTACAATTCTTTGTGGCAATTGCTCTTATTGTGATTTTGTAAATTGAGTTTTATTAATCTCTAGGTATGTTTTAAGATGTGTTCTTTAAGCCATTTTCTGGACTTATCTAAATTTCTGGAATGCTTCTGAATATTATTCACTCTACTTTGAACTTCATAGATGGTGCCAAGTCTGATGATACTGACAAATGTGTATATATTCTATGGACCAAGTAGATGCTAGCTTTACCAATAATATTGCTTACTTGAAGCTGTAAATTGTTAGCATTGTATTCTATACATTTTACCTTCCAAACTGAAGACACTTTATAAATCAAGGCATACCAGTGCAATAATGTGTAATGTTGTTATTTTTACATTGTATTTGGTCTGTATATGTTTGTCATGTGCCTAAATAGAATCTAATCATTTAAAAAATAATTTATCTTATTCATATATATATATATATATATATATACATATATATATATTTGTGTAAGGGGCAAAATAGCCGTATATGGAGTAAGGATCCAGCATAAGCTTAGGATAGTGTAAAGGGAGCAAGTCGGTTGTGGTGTGCCGATACCGACGATACGGTAGGCCTGTAAATAAAGAGGGCAAAAATGAATAATCAAAGATTTAATACAGTCAACAAATATATACAAATTAACCAGACATTTCCTTAAATGCATTACAGTATTTAATTCCTGAAAGGATTTGAAGGTAGGAATCTAGGACCGAAAGTGGGCACCATTTGTTGTGGGTAGGATAGTATGTTATCTCTGTGGAGTATGTTGACTCATTTCGGAATGTGGTAGAGCCAATAGGTAATGATATATGTGTTTACGTATGTGGGATCATTGAAGACAATGATCTGTCTGAGTGGTGGTGATGGTAGTGGATTCTCTGGCCTGAGAAATGCATAAAAGGCAATGTGCATGGCTGGTAATGGCCGACTTGGTAGTATAATTGAATGGTTGTAGATCTAATAGGTCCGATAAGGATGAACAGTTGGATGGCTATTGGTAATCTCTGAGAGGAACGTGGGGGAATGGATTCCTGAAAACCTCTGAGTATATTCTTTCTGGTATGATAGCATGAAGTTTATGGTAGTTTTGGCCATAGGTTATCATGTGTTGTTGAATGCCTGTAAAATATATAATTAATGGTGTATGAGATAGTTTAAGTTTAAGGTGGCAAAAATAAGCAAAACTTAGGAGAAATTTTGTGACACAGGTTGAGCTATGTCGTGTTCCAATGAGATTCTTTAAGCCAGGTGAAAAGCTGTGTTATGCGTTCTACAAGTATGGGACGAAAGTGCTAGGTGGGATAGTGCATGCTATGCTGCATGAGTATGTCTAATCCATGATTTTGTCTCTGGAACGAAAGAGTGGACGTGACTGTATGGGCGGCTGTAGGAAGCGTATGATGAACATGCCTGGAATATAAATGAGACAGTTGTCGGCAGGGATGTATACCCCCGTCTGGTACATGAAAGTGAAATGTGATAAGTGGACAACCAAGTGAGTTCCCCAGAAACATCATGACCTTATGGATGAGTAGTGGCGTTTGTTGATGATATGATATGTGCTTAGTTGTCTGAGTAACAACGGATTGATGACCCTGACCATGATTTACCCCATGCCACAGCAGCTGCTACAATGGGGTAGATCTCCCAAAGGGGCTGAAGTGGTGGAAAAATTTCCAAACCTGGATGCCATGGCCAACAGCCCCAAAGCAATTGTTCCCGGTAGATCGCTGCCAAACCCGTGGTATACGCTGCGTCTGACCATCTGGTTGGAGAAGTGTCAGACAATCCTGGAAGGAACATGCTTTTACCATGCCAAGTGGTTAAGAAATCCCCCCCCATGTGCAGGTCTGCTGTTGCTGAGGTGTCTAGGCACCTCCTCTGATCGTCATGTTGGAAGTGTGGAAAAAAGGGGAAAGTACTCTGGATGTGAAAGCGTGGTCTTGTGGTATGATTGGCATGGCAAAATTAAGGAACCTGGTAGGGATTGTAGTTCCTTGTAGTTGTAAGTACTAAGCAGGAGGTAGTGATTGATTTAGTTGAGAATGTTCCCTATTTGTCTTGTGGTAACTTGCGTGTATGGATGCCGACTCAAGTCATATGCCCAGTAATGCGATGATAGTGTCTGCGCCTTCTGTTTCATATGGGGTACTGGGACGCCCAAGTGGTCAACCAGACTAAGCTGCCATGAGGCTTCTAGTGAAAAATATGCTTTGAGCAACAAGAAGTCTTCTAGATAGTGTATGACTGTATTGCCTCTGGATATGTTATCATAACCAGCACAGAGTATCTGCGAATATCGATAGTAGGTTAATCTGTAGCTCGAAAGTTGAGCAGGGAAAGGATTGCCCAATTTATGCCATGTAAGTGCCAGTGTGTAGGGTAGATGGTAGCTGTTTACTGCGTTGATGATATTGGTCTTACTTAACCAAGCTTTAACCCATGCTTGAGTGATAGCTGTAAAGGTAGATCAATGGTGTTGTATAGTAAGAAGGGAGTTGAGACTTGGGGTAGCGGAGGTGTGTGGTGCCAATAAGTCTATGGTTAGTCTTTGTTTAAGGGAAGATTCCTTGTGACAATACCAATGTGTGTGTTTGGTGCCATGCTGTAAATGGTGGAGATTGGAAGACCACTCTGCAAATTTTGGCTATGAGTGTGTTTTCATCCAATGGTTTTGTTGTGCTGACTGTAAGGGAGGGCATGCTATATTCCTTGAAGGTGTGTTTATGATACCTGTATGGGAGCCCTTTGAAGCTCCAGAGCTTTAGTAAATCTACTACAAGTCTGGAAGGGTGATGAGTCAGTAGTGTTGAAAATGCATTGGTGTGTACAGATGGTGAGTACGTTATTTGTAAGTTGTATTGGGCCACATGGTTTGTCATGTGCCCTGAACCATTTGAACATATATGCAACAGTCTATATGCAATGCAACTACTCATATCAATCGTCTCTGGTAGTTCAGAGGTGCTGGTACCTGGAGCCTGAGAGTGCTCGTCCATTTGTTTGGGACAGAACCCCTTCTGTATGGGTACCTGCACAAATAAACATCTCTACATATTCCAAATACCAACCCATCCAAGAGATGGTCAGTTCCCGATTTACCTGGAATCCCTGAATCTGACCATCACAGATACATCATCATACATATATATGCCTTGCTTCCCCAATGTGCTGGGATCATACGTGCAGGTTTAACATCTTGTGTGTCATAAGAATTGATTGTACCAGGTAACCGAGTTTCGGTTGGTGCTGGTTGTACAGTAACGTGAGGCCCAGCCTTGTGAGGGCTGTGGTGACCAACTCGAGATTGCCAGTCTGTCATAACATTTTTTGGCTCATGAGTTTATGAGTGAGGCTAGCATAGCCTGGGTGTCACCTGAGTTGATGTAGCTGGGCCTTCCCCTGCTCCGTGTTGTCCGTTGATGTATGGAGGAGTTTGAATAACTCTGCTTTCCTTGCTGTAGCAGGGTAGGGGATTTGTCACCTCCTTAGGTCGGTGGTAATGTGTGGGATCGTCCAGGATCTGATTGCTGCAGGACTAGCAACATCTCCTCTGCTTGAAGGTGTATCAATTCTAGCCGGGGTGCTAGGAAGAGGTGATTCTTCACCATCTTTTGGAGAAATACTTAAAAACAATAAAGATGCAATTATTTGTACCCAGGGTTCTTGTACTGGCTTGCTAGCTAAGCCGTAAGGCGAAACGATTAGGCTTGGTGTTTTTTGGTGACTGGTGAGGCCCTGCTAGTTGCCAAGTGGCTTGAGAGGCTCTATCTATGCTTGGCGCGAGGGGATTTTGTGTGGCCACCGAACATTGTGGCAGGATGTTGGCCTCTCGGTGACAGTAACCAGAAAATAGGAAGGGGAGTGACAGGTGAGGCCCTCTCTATGATACAATGCGAGGCGGCTAGCTCACGAGTGGCCCGAGGGGTGTATGCCTCCGAGTGTGAGGCGGGGTGTTGGCCTCGCGGGACCACTAACCGAAGCATAATGCAGAGAAAAAAGGGGTAATACCTATTGGGCCCTAGAACCCTAATTGCCAGTACACTATTACTATTCCAGGGAAGGTAAGAGATGGATAACTACGTGAGCAGGTGTATGTACCTGGTAGTATGGTATTGAACCTGACAATCCGTATAGGTTTTTTAGTAGTAACTGTAACCTGAATGGATAAAACCGTATGGCATAAGGAAATATGACATAGACCAAGCTTATCTTAATACGTACAGTATATGTGAAAAGTAAAGTGCCATGATGTGTAAATATTAAACATCGTAGCCATACTGGTTAAATATGTATCAATCTTAACCCATTAAGTGCCGTATGTACAAGTGAAAATGTGGTCTGTCCCCACCTTGTATGTTGTATGTCCCCTTGCTAGGGGAAAGTCTGTTGCGTGAGCAGCGTGCTGTGAAAAATGTATGTGAACTATATTACCAGTTACGTATATACAGACGCGTCTGCTACTGTGTAATAATATATGTATTTATACCTGATGTTGATATAGTGCTTGCTATGTGAATAATATATGTATTTATACCTGATGTTGATATAGTGCTTGCTATGTGAATTGTTGTATGTCTTATTGAATGGTAGGGGTCAGTGAACATGGTGTTGCAAAATGCAAGTGCACTGGAGATCTGCCGAGTGCCCTATAGGTGGCAGTGTAGTTGGATACTGATTGGTATGTGAAATGTTGTTTGTCTGTTGACCTATAGGTGTCAGTGTTTTGGTGTTTGTAAAACCCCATGAAAATTGTCAATGTACTTGACAGACCTGTAGGTGGCAGTGTTGATAGAACCACTGTTGGTCTTGATGTGAAATGTAAATTATTGTGAATTAAACCTGAATTTGAGCCCGTGCTGGAGTTTCATTTATGGTTTATGGTTATGTTTAACCCCGTAAGGACCAAACTTCTGGAATAAAAGGGAATCATGACACGTCACACATGTCTTGTGTCCTTAAGGGGTTAAAACAATCTTATGTGTAATTTATATTGGCTGGTAAATTGTATATGACATGTGAAGACAGTTTTGCTGTTGACCAGTAGGGGTCATAAATGCTGATTGTATGGTAAAAATACCCTTTAACCCCTTAAGGACCAAACTTCTGGAATAAAAGGGAATCATGATATGTCACACATGTCATGTGTCCCTAAGGGGTTAATCCTACCGTATGACAGATAGGAGTCAGTATAAAAGCGAAAATGCTGTAGTTAGTTTGTTTGCTTATGAAGTGAAATAAAGTCTGAGAAGACTGTAGTATACCGATTGACCGGTAGGGGTCAGCATGTAGGCGAAAATGCCGTGGTTCGTTGGTTTGTACATGAAATGCAATAATGTCTGAGAAGCCTGTAGTACACTGAATGACCGGTAGGTGTAAGTGTGTAGGTAAAAATGCAGTGGTTTATTGTTTTGTACACGAAAAGCAATAATGTCTAAGAAGCCTGTAGTACACCGAATGACTGATAGGGGTCAGTATGTAGGTGAAAAATGCAGTGGTTTGTTGGTTTGTACATAAAATGCAATAATTTCTGAGAAGCCTGTAGTACACAGAATGACTGGTAGGTGTCAGTGTGTAGGTGAAAATGCAGTGGTTTATTGTTTTGTACATGAAAAGCAATAATGTCTAAGAAGCCTGTAGTACACCGAATGACTGATAGGGGTCAGTGTGTAGGTGAAAAATTAAGTGGTTTGTTGGTTTGTACCTGAAATGCAATAATGTCGGAGAAGCCTGTAGTACACAGAATGACCGGTAGGGGTCAGTGTGTAGGCGCAAATGCAGTGGTTCGTTGATTTGTACATGAAATGCGATAATGTCTAAGAAGCCTGTAGTCCACCGAAAGACCAGTAGGGGTCAGTGTGTAGGTGTAAATGCAGTGGTTTATTGGTTTGTACATGAAAATGCAAACAACGCCTAAGAAGCCTGTAGTACACCAAATGACCAATAGGGGTCAGTGTGTAGGTGAAAAATGCGGTGGTTCGTTGGTTTGTACATAAAATGCAATAATTTCTGAGAAGCCTGTAGTACACAGAATGACTGGTAGGTGTCAGTGTGTAGGTGAAAATGCAGTGGTTTATTGTTTTGTACATGAAAAGCAATAATTTCTAAGAAGCCTGTAGTACACCGAATGACTGATAGGGGTCAGTGTGTAGGTGAAAAATTAAGTGGTTTGTTGGTTTGTACCTGAAATGCAATAATGTCGGAGAAGCCTGTAGTACACCGAATGACCGGTAGGGGTCAGTGTGTAGGCAAAGATGCAGTGGTTCGTTGGTTTGTACATGAAATGCGATAATGTCTAAGAAGTCTGTAGTACACCCAAAGACCAGTAGGGGGTTTAAACGAATGATATGCATGAACATGCAATGGTTTTAGAACAGACTTAGACAAAATGCAGCAGTAAAGTGAGGACCTGACCCTTGCATGGTGCCGTGGGACTGATGCCTGGCGTAATGGGTAGGTCAACTTACGGTTTGTGAGTCACTTGGACACCATCCACAGCGATAGATTGAAGAAAGAAGGTGGTAGGCCGGAAAAGCCTGTGGCTGGATTCCTGACACAGCTCAGCTTAGAAAACCTCATGGAGTAATCAGGTAAAATGGCGTCTGGATGACCCGGAAGTGGAAATCATTCTGATGCTGACCTCAAGCGATATGAGTCAGGTAAGGGGTGTCCCTTATATAGGGGAGTGAATTAATTTAAGCCCCTCCCACAAATACAGGCAAAACTGCCTTAATACATATATATATATATTCTGCTTTCCAATAAAAAACATTTCTATATTTTGGAACACAGCAGGTACCCATT